TCCTGCTAGATGCTGCCCCGTGAATTCCTGTTGCTTCTGTGACTATGTTGCTCTTGTTAGCTGCCTTTGAGTTGGCCCCTGACTCATGATGACCCCATGCACAATGAAACAGAAGGCTGCTCCGTCCTGCCCCATCCTCATGATCAGTTGTAGATAGAACCATTGTGATCCATAGGGTTTTTATTGGCTGATTTTCTGAAGTAGGTCACCAGACCTTTCTTCCTAGTCCATCTTCATCTGGAAGCTCTAAACTGTTCAGCATCATACCAACATGAAGCCTCCACTGGCAGATGGGTGGTGGCTGTGCATGAGGTACATTGGCCAGGAGTTGAACCCAGGTATCCTGCATGGAAGGCGAGAATTCTACCACTGAGCCACCACTGCTCCATCTCTGACTGTAAGACCTTTAATTAGTCTTTATTAGCATCATAGTTATGTGTATATGATAAAAACAGGAGGCTGATTGTTCTTCCTCTCCTGAAGATATTAATTGGCATTTGTCTTTCAACCATAGCATGGCATAAACAACACACTGACACATTACATTAAGAAAGATGTATCTATTCATATGTATCTTTAAATGATGGTCAGTTGCCATGGCATTCTCCACAGTCCTCCTGTTTACAGGCCCTCACAACTCTCAGGCCCTCCGTTTCTATACTTGCAATGTATCAGTTTGCTAATAAAGTACGCTGCTATCCATAGACAAAAATGCCACTGAAGTCATATATTTTGTATGGGGCTTTGGTTATAGGTGAGAATCCCGCATAAGCTGCCCAGAGAAGTGATTGGTGCTGTTTTATAGCGGCCTGTCATGGAAGGAAAAGGCTTATTGTGAAGCAGTTTGGGGTGTGCCAAGTATCATAGGCCATTACCTCCTCTCAATTGCAGAAACCCAAATAACGGAATTCAGTGTTTTCTTTAGGAAGAGGCAATGAACAATTAGTGCCTGGGAGATTGAACCCTGCCTAGAAAGGGTGTGACTGCTCAGAACACAGAGGGGGAAGAAGTGGAGTCTGAATTCAACTTCTCCAAGACAGCCACCAAGGGGGATTTTTTTTTTTCTTCCAGAAGTATAAGAAAACCAGAGAACCGGTTTTGTTTTGCTTTGTTTTTCATACATTCCTTGTTTATTGTTTCCTAGGTCACAGTAGAAAAGGGCAGCTGAGTTCACTAAAAATTGGAACTTGACTCCATAAACTAAGAACCATTTGTCTGCATTATCTATATCTGAAGGTTTCTGACTTAGGATGCAGGCATCTGGCAGTAGTGATTTCAGAGAAGTGTTATGTCTGTAGTTCAAATGCTAATAATATGGCATTTAATTCTGAGGCAAAAAATCCGTATATATTAACACATCTTAGCTTCCCTTTCCCTCTTTTTGTTTTGTGTTTGTTCATTTGTTTTTGTTGTTGTTGTTGTTGAGGGGGGGTTTATATTTGTTTTGTTTTTAACCAGGGATTGCTTTCTGTGTAGTAGTCTAAAAGTAGCTTCCTTTTATACATGCTATTTTTGTTGTTGTTGTAAAAAGAGATATAACATGATATTTGCCAGTTCAGTGTTTTTCACGTGTGCGATTTAGTGGTATCAATTACATTAATGATGTTGGGCAGCTATTATCAATAATTGTTGCCAAATATGCCATCACCATAAACAGAACTCGTTGCTTCTTTAAGCAGAGGGAGAATGGGGCAAAACAAGGAAGGCTGTCTGAATTTAGATGGAAATAAAAACAGAGAGGAACAAGGTAGTGTTTAAGGCTAAAATAAATTGTCCTATAAATAAAGTCCTCCCACTGACCCTGGAATTGAAAAGGGTCACTTTTGGCTTTGAAAGAGCCCCTTATCAATCATACTCATTTGGAGGAAACAGGTACAATTTGCTTTCCGTGAATGTTTTCAGATTTAAGAGCAATTTTCCTACACAACTAAGTGATTTATTTATCATCAATGCTAATTTCTCAGATAGCATTTTTCTTTTGTAAAGTTTGGAGAGAACTTTACTTTGTTACTAATGTTATCCAATATATGGTTGTTTACAACGTTTCACAAATGACTTTAGAAATGGGAGTTACTCTTTAAAACAAGTTTTAAATTAAAAAAATAATAACAATAACTTCTAGAATCCAAAACTCACTTTTCTGGGTGATAAATACATGCCTGAAAAGCCAAGTTCATATTCAAAGTGTACATACAACTTAACGACAGCAGTGTTAAAATGCCTTTTTCCGTGTGCATGCTTTTTAAAAAAAAGTCTCCTATGTGTGGTGTATTACAGCCTGGCAGCCACAAATGCACATTAGCTGGAGAGAGGGTATTATTTATCAGAATTGTAAAAGGGCTTATTTGAGATAGCGCTGTGTTTACAGTATACTTTTATCAAGTGGAAGCACCTTGGAGCCAGCCATCTATTATACATTTATATTTTTAGACAGCTGGCGCCAAATACATTATTTTACAAAGCTATGAGCATGCCCTTTGTGAATTACCACATAAAGTGGAGATTTGAGTCACTTATCTAAGTAAATAAGGAAAAAATTTTTTAAAACCATGCGATCCCCCTCCCACACATACACACTTAACACCCTGATATTTCAGCCTGGAATTACCAAACTGGTTAATGAACTGATCAAATTAATTCAATCATGGCTCACAACTTTACTCCCCATTGCCTCTCTGGGCTGACCTCATCCCAACAGTAGATAGCTAACATTGCACCACGGGGTTCCATGGCACCTGCTAAGTGGTCATCAGGCAGGTTGACGTGCTCCACTGAACTGTAGCCCATTTGGAACTTCTTTGAGGAAATCCGATAGTAGATTAGTCAATTTTTTCTGAGGACATTTCAGTTCGAAGTTACTAACCCTGTGTCTTACTTACCTAGTGCTGCAATAACAAAAAATACCACAAGTAGGTGGCTTTAAAGAACAGGAATTCCTTTTCTCACAGTTCAGGAGGCTAGAAGTCCAAAATTAGGGTATGGCTCTAGAGGGCAGTCCTTCCTTGTTGGTAGCTAGCTCTATGAGTTCCTTGGCGTTCCTTGGCATCTGTCTTTCCCCTGTGTATGTCTGTGTCTATTCTGCTCTTTTTATAACTCAGACGTGATTTGGCTCAGGACCACCCTATTTGGGCATGACCTGATTAGCATAACAAAGAAAACCTTGTTTCCAAACAGGATCACATCCACAGGTATAGGGGCCAAAACTTTAATACATATATTTTGGGGGGCACAGTTCAATCTTTAATATCTTGCCACATAATTATTCCCAAAGTACACTTCACATGCACCTTCTCATATTTAATGTCAACCTGAGCCTGCAAGACAGTGCAAAGGTGTTTATTATGATGCCTAAATTAAGTGCTTATCATGTACTAGGCATTGTTCTAAGTGTTTTACAACTATTACTTCATTTAATCCTCACAACAACCCCATGAAGTATATACAGGTAGTCCCCCACTTAAGACGTATTAGAGTTATGACACACCGCACTTATGACTGTTTTTGTTGTTGTTGTTGTACATCTTATCATTAGTAATATGGACTACATACAGTGTTGAAGCCGGTCATATGCTGATGTTATCATTCTGAGGTATTCACTTGCAGATGTTCAATGTTATGATTTCTAAAGATGTTTTTGTTGTTGTGAGGTGCCATCGAGTCAGTTCCGACTCATAGCCACCCTGTACACAACAGAACGAAACACTGCCCAGTCCTGTGCCATCCTCACAATCATTGCTGTGTTTGAGCCCATTGTTGCAGCCACTGTGTCAAACCACCTCCTTGAGGGTCTTCCTCTTTTTCGCTGACCCTCTATTCTACCAAGCATGATATTCTTCGCCAGGGACTGATTCCTCCTGATAACATGTCCAAAGTGTGTGAGAAAAAGTGTCAACACCCTTGCTTCTAAGGAGCATTCTGGCTGTACTTCTTCCAAGATAGATTTGTTCATTCTTCTGGCAGTCCGTGGTATATTCAATATTCTTAGCCAACACCATAATTCAAAGGCATCGATTCTTCTTTGGTCTTCCTTATTCATTGTCCAGCTTTTGTGTGCATATGAGGTGAATGAAAATACCATAGCTTGGGTCGGGCACACCTTAGTCCTCAAAGTGACATCTTTGCTCATTAACACTTTGAAGAGGTCTTTTGTAGCAGATTTGCCCTACGCAATACATCATTTGATTTTTAGAATGGTGCTTCCATGGATGTTGATTGTGGATCCAAGTAAAATGAAATCTTTGACCACTTCAATATTTTCTCTGTTTATCATGATGTTGTTTATTGATCCAGTTGTGAGGATTTTTGTTTTCTTCAAGTTGAGGTGTAATCCACACTGAAGGCTATGGTCTTTGATCTTCATCAGTAAGTGCTTCAAGTCTTCTTTACTTTCAGCAAGCAAGGTTGTGTCATCTGCATATTGCAGGTTGTTGATGAGTCCTCCTCCAATCCTGATGTCATGTTCTTCTTCGTATAGTCCAGCTTCTTTTTGTAAAGATGCTCATAATAAAAGACAGTAATAATGAAAACTAAAAAAAAAACGGTATTCAACTTATGTCAGAACTTATTTACGACGGAGTCGTCAGAATGGAACCCTGTCATAAGTCGAGGACTGTCTGTACTCTTTTTATCCCTGTCTGATGGAAGAGGTTTCTGGGACTCAGCTGGGGTACATTACCTGCCCAGGATCATACAATAAGTGTAGAGTTGAGATTATTACCCAAGTCACCTGACTCCAGAGCCTATTTGTAAAGGATGTGGTCTGGCCTTGTACTAGTGTTCAGCTCTTGAATTAAAACCCATTCTCTTCAGAAAGTCCCTGATAAATGTGAGGGCCAAATTGATGGCATGCTACATTTTTCAGGTAAACCTCACTGAATAATACTCTTAATGACATTCAGACATATCAGAAAAGCTTGCCAATTTCATTATTTAAAGTACATGGTGCTTTGGGTTTGTTTTCTCTGGTCTTCTCAACATAGTTTCGGTATGTTTCTTTCTAGAATGAAGTGTCCATGTTGAAAAATGAAGTGGCACAACTGAAACAGTTGTTGTTAACGCATAAAGACTGCCCAATAACAGCCATGCAGAAAGAATCACAAGGATATCTAAGTAAGTCACTGACTTATCTGCTTTTCTTTGTGTCCTATGGTTTACCACTAATTTTGCATTGGATTTTACTTAAAGAGCAAAAGGGAAGTGTAGATTCCACATCCAGGCAGAGCCCATGCTAGAGTTCTTGAATGACTGCCAGACTATTCTACCAGTGGGATCCCTCTTTCCTGACGCCTGTCTATCACCATACCCACCACCTCCTGATAATTTCTGGCTAAACTATTCCTGGTAGGATTTCCCTGATAAACCAATTCCAACTCTGCAGCCAGTAGGAAGGTGGCCTGATGGAGCCCAATTGCCATTGACCTAGTAGTCTTCCAGAGAAATCCATGGGTTGGGAAACAGGCATTGGATGAATCACATCCAATCCCTCAGGATACCCTTCATGTCACTCACTGGGCTGAAAAGCTAGTGACATGGTCTCAGTTTACCAATGCATAAAATGGATCTCTTTTTCTAGATCCCAATAGCTGCACCTGGAATGTCAATAGATTAGATGCTAGTTGAGTAGGGGATGGTGGGAGGAGCAGAGGTTCATGACTGAAGGTCACTTTATTTTCAAATAATTTTTTAGATTGAGCAACACAGATTCTCCCACCACATGTGAGTATTATTCCACATTTGATATATGGATGGCTATTTGAAAATAGGATATGGGGAAGCTCACATCCCAGGACTCACAAACAATCAACCCATTTTGCTGATGCAGAAAGCATGGCTTTGCTCGTAGCTATAACCTGGGAAGGCATAGCTTTGTGACTACAGTTTAAAATAAAGTTTTGAAATAAACTTCCAGAAGAAAATCTGTGAAACTCTTCTACTTCAAGTCCATATCTAATATTTTGCTGGTAGTCCACAAGCCCACGCAAGAAAGAGCTGTATTGGTATGTGCATATGTGTGTTTTTTTTCTAGGTCCAGAGAGCAGCCCTCCTGCAAGCCCTGTCCCAGCTTGCTCCCAGCAGCAAGTCATCCAGCATAACACCATCACTACTTCCTCGTCTGTCAGCGAGGTGGTAGGAAGCTCCACCCTCAGTCAGCTCACCACTCACAGAACAGACCTGAATCCGATTCTTTAAAATCCACGGGTCAGACCTTGCCTCCTAGAAGAGCTGTAGCATACCGTCTACGTCCTTTCTTTTAAGGGCATTTTGTAGAATTAACTCCGACCTGGAAGACTCCTCAGCCCTTCAAAGACTGGCTTTCATTTTTATAGTTATTATGGAAATGTTGTCTTTTTTACTTAGTTATATAAGAAAAAAAGGGAGTTATGCAATTAATACCTGTCAGCTTGGGAAATGCTTTGGTGCTTTTCTCCAATTTTCTGGTACCGGTTACTTGTTTATAAACGAACTCTTTCTGTATATAGTCATGGTTTCATTCTTACCAGTCCAACCCTTTGCCTGAAACAGCGAATCTTGTTAAATTGCAGCTTTTAGCCAAAATGAGGCAAACCTAAATGTCAAGTAAGACCCACCCAAGGTGACTGGGTGGGAAGTCCGATGACATCATAACATGTGTTGAGTTTGGGCAGTTACATCACCAGTGTCTCAGATAAACACAGAGCCTTTTCCAGAATTTTTTTTCTTCTACTATAAAAATTTTGTTAGACCCATTGATGTTCAAATCAAACCACCAAGCATCTCACCACCTCTCCTCCTCCTTTTTGTCCACGTGCTCGAATACCCAATTTCCCCCTCCATTTCTACTTTTTCTTGGGCTCACTATTTGCTCTTCATTTTGACTGTCTTCTTTTACTTTTTTTTTTTTTTTTTCCTTTAGCATTGCATGTAAAGAAGAAAATAATGTTTAAAGAAAAAAAAGAAAAAAACTTCTCAAAACCGTGGACCTAGCCATTGCTTTCCTTGCCCGTAACACACAACTGGGGTTCATTCAACTCTTACTTTTCACAAAACAGAAACCAGGAGATGTTTACTGTGCCAGATTTAATATTTTCTATAATCAGAGCAAATAAAAGGTGGTGTAGCTGCAGGTGAAGCGCTGTTGAATGCCAGCTGTGAGAAACAAAGGACAGGAGCTTTGTAAGCCTCAGTTGTGAAAGTCCACATTGCGATTCGGGACTTATAACATCATACCCTTGAATTACAACTGATTTTCTATGGCTTGTTTATAATGTTGAAAATCCATGGACTATCTAATAATTCAGAAGGGCTCTACTCACTACACAAATTATTTGTTCCATCATCAGCTGCTAATAGCCTGGATTTATTATTATTATTTTCTTAAGCCTATCGAACCAGCTTTGCTGTTCTGGTGGGTGAAAGTAGACTAACTACTGGGGCAACAAAGAAAGAAAGAAAACCTGGTTTTTCCAGCCTTCCCATGACCAGTCAAGCACCATTTGGCTGCTGAAGGAATCCCACGGGCGGGCGCAGGCTACTCTTCTCTTCTAAGTAATTCTAATGTATTTTTTCAACAACGTACATGGACTTGCCCATTGTAGAAAGCAGATAGTCCCCAAACCACAGTTGTGCCTCCTTGGAACAAGCCATTCTACAGTGCTGATGAATATCGCATCTCACTAATAACACAGGCTAATGTTGAACGCTCTAGAAATCTAGACGGGTGGTGGTGTTTCATCTCATTTGAATGCTTGATTGTCTCACGTGTGTGTGTTTGTGTGTGTGTGTGTGTGTGTGTGTGTGTGTCTCCATGGGTTTTTAAAGAACAGTATTTTACAAAAGGTGTAGTAGCTTTTATAAGAGTTCAGAAGAAGGAAGGATGTGTTTTGTTTTTTGTTTTTCTCTCCCTATAGTGTAAGAATCTATTTTGGAGGGAAATAAAAGCAAGTATGAGGGTCATGAAGCATGATTTTTATAACTAGCTCCAGTTTGTCTAATAACTTACTTTTTAAATCAGTATTTATCAGCAGTCTTTCCATGTATCCAGTGCTTTCAAAAGAAGTGGCCAGTGAAGCTCATGACTTAGATATATGGTCTAAGAATCAAAGCAAAAACAAAAAAAGAGGGGAAAAAAAAAGAAAATAAAAAAATATAAATGAAAAGGATTTTCTATTATATTTTAAGCAAACATATTTTCAAGTATTTTAAATACTGAATTCATAGTAAAAAAAAAAAAAAAATTTAATCCCAGCAGTAAAAAACTGAATAGTTTATCCAGACTGTGGCTTCCTAAGAAATATTTAAAGCTTAGCTTTAAAGAGAAGTTAACATTCTTATGTCTATTTTGAAATTGCAAGTAATTTTTTTCAAAAACTCCTCCCTATGGCTTTCTGTATTCCAAAAGAAAGGAAAAAGAGTGCATTGAAACATTTGTTTGGGTTTTTAAAATTTTTTTATTTTATATTTAGCTTTGTTTTTAGTAAGCAAAAACTTTTCTTTCTTTACTGCATGCATAGCACTTAATGAAATTGATTTTCTTTTTAATCCACTGGTATTATCAGGATGCCCAGGGAGTGACCTGTCACTAAAATTGTGGTTTAGTTTACTTCTGTTCCATCTCTTGATTAAAATATTTAGTTGTTAAACTGAATGCCTCTGCAGTTACGAACTTGCCTGGGTTTTCTTAATTCAGCAGCTTGACAGTTTGACTGATGTGCATTATATATAGCTCAATTATGTCTGTTTTTTATGCTAAGTAGGCAAGCCAACCACACACGTTAGCAAACCGGCCTAAACATATAATTAGAATAAACTGTCTTCTTGTTATACTCAGGGCCTTTAGGTATGTTCATTAGCAGTGTGGAAATACACGAAATGAAAGAGGCCAGCTATTTGTCAGTGCTCGTTGAAATCCCGAAGAGAAAGGCTCATTGGCCAAATCCAACAATCAGCTTATCAGTATGAAGTATTTCACTTAAAGGTCCAGCCTTTTCCAAACTCCAGAATCATCTGTCTGCCTGCAAATCTCTTTTTCTTGCTCTATAGTTTTTGCCAATTGGGCAGAACATCTCCTTTTTACCACATTCCCCTCTTGTGACCCGTTGCTGGGTTATTGCTAGTCGGCTCCAACTCATGACGACCCCGTATACGACAGAACAAAACATTGCCCTGTCCTGGGCCAAGTACTATATTCTGTTGTGATCCGCTACGGGGCTACCCATCTATATTTTCACAATCCGTTGTAATGATCTTCAGAACCCAGATCCTAAGGAGGGAGCGGCCTTGCATGCTGCCTCTCTCCACTCGTGTGGTTTCTTGGTTATCGGCAGGCTCTGCCACGGAAATCACTGCCAGGCTACCTGGGAACTTGTATGATGCCTCCCCAACCTTACATGATGGGAGTGAAAAAATTAGATCGCTCTACCTGATAGCATTTCTACTGGATGAATCCTCATCAGATTGAAGCGTCCATATCTTAGTTGTTTCTCCTTGATACATTTCTCAACATCTGATGCCAGAACAGGCATCGTGAAAATCCTAGCCATGAACGAATATACTGATTTTAAAGCCTGGTGTTAAGTCAGATGTTTTCTCTTTACACTCCTACTCATCCCTCTCTTACTCCCAAGTCAATGTATGCAAGTTACAGTCTTAACACTGCCTGTGGGAGACAAGTAGTCTGTGGTGTGACTTATAATCTTTAGGGTGATTCACTTGGAGCAAATGTTCTTTGGAGCCTATTCACCGATGAAATTAAATGCAGCCCATATTCTGAACAGAGAAGCGTCAATGGTGGATGTTCAGGTGGTTGTCGCCTGTTATGTAAAGTTTAGTGTTTTAGTTGAGCTTGTCGTTAACATCACAAACCAGCTGCAGTGAAAGACCCAGCTTTGGCTGGGGAGTTGTAAGCTAGCCATCCAGTTAGGATAGAATGTGCTGGTTAATAAAAACCATCTAAAATATGTATATATATGTATGTATGTATGTATGTATGTATACAGTGGAATTCAAGGACCAAAGCAAAATTTGAACAGGAATCTATTAATTTAGAATTTTATAAGATATTTATTAATAAATGTTATTTTTAAACATTCCATTTGAACACTATTCTTCTGTAGGATCTACTTGTTTTTAAAGTATTAGATCGTAATAAACTACTTTTGTGTATCTTCATTTTTCAGGGTCTCAAAAACCTATTCTCCATCACTTGGTGGGAATGTTTGCTTAGATCTCTATGCACAGAAATTTCCAGGATTTTTGTTGCTCTGTGAGTTATTTTTTTCAGTCTATATTTTGAAGTTTTTTTTAAACATTACTTTTTTTCACTTTGAAAGTAAGCCCTTTTATTTAGGAAGCAGAGTTCGGCTGAAGGGAATCAGTAATTATAACTGGAACAGCTTTCTTGTAAAAGTGTAAAAACAGCCTCATCTCTGCTTCTCTCCACCCAATTTCCTAGAACGCCTTGCACTATTCAGCGTCTTTAGTGTTCTTTTTGTCCCTTCCCCGACAATGTGCAGTAGCTTTAAGCCATTCAAACTCCATTATGCAGTATATGTGAGAAGGGAAAGGAAACAACCCAATTAAATTTGAATAAAACCATGCCTATAAGAATAGTAGCAATCTAGAATCTCCTTTCTGCTTTTCAAATAATTTATATTTTAAAATTGCACTTTAGCTTTTGTGATCCCTTCCCATTTCTCTTGTTCTCTTTCTCACCTTTCCCCCTCCTCAAACTTGCCTTTGCTCTCCCCTCTCCAATGCCCTTGCCCTCCCTCTAAGGCTCTGAGCTGCATCATTTAAATACTTTTCAGAATATTTGCACCAGGTACATTTACATGCGTTCATTAGTAGCCTAGCTCAGACTTGTTTCTCACATCAGCCTAGATGAAGCCTGCTACAAGAATGCCAAGGAGAAGAGCCATTACACTATATGGTTTATACTTTTTATCCCCTTATTCATAGCAAGTTTTTTTTTTAAAGTTATATTATGCAAAAGATGTGAGGCAGCAGCTAAGCTACACTTAAGAATTTTCTATCTCATCCTTCAAACCAAAGTGTCCTGAATAAGCCAGGAGACTTATTCTTTTGTGCATCGTGATGCAGGCTTGACTGTCATACTAGCCATGGTGTCTCTGAAGCTGCTGAAATAACAGTGGCCCTATCTATGTCATTCCTAGGTCTCAAAAATTCAATGTTGCCTTGTAACATAATTAAGGACAGCACCTCTATTTTACAATTATAATCTAAAGAAGGATAAGAAGACATAGAAGCAATAAACTTACCAATAAAATCCAATACCAAAATGAACACACAAAGAAATAAGATTTTAGCTCATGTTATAAAAAAATGAAAAAGTGCATGTCCATTCAAAATATTTTACTATTTCTTGTGGAGTTTGTCAGTGACCTAATGCTTATAGCCAAATTGCTTAAAGAATGTTTATATATTTTTTTCCTTATAAAATTGTCTATTTAAAAAAAAATCCTATTTAACCACAAGATGAAGAGGGAGAGGGAGTGAGGCCAAATTGCCAGCATTTGTTAAAAGATTAATATTCTTAAGTGGCACTCTGATACCTTTCCAAGCTTATCATCAGAGGAGAATCAATAATTATGAACTTTTATGTTTAGACCAATTTACAATGTCTAACTCACTAGAAGCCAGGATCTAGAAAGCTTTTCTGAGGCCATTTAAGATTTTCTTACATTGAGTTTCATATTATAGAACTTTATAGGATTGATTTTCTTTTTTTTTAAACAGAATCATTTTAGCCTCAGGACTGAGAATGTGGAACCCAAATAAATTAGCTTTAAATACATCCTTAAAATCTTATGCACAATAAACTCATCAGAATCTGGTTTGCTCCTTTAGAATACCAGTGTTACAGACACTGCAGGAGGTAATAAAAGGTATCGGCAGTGCTGAAGAGGAGGGAGTTTAAGAGAAAGGACCCTTCCCAGCCAGTCAGTCAATAGAAAAGAAGATCTCCTCACCCTCTTTCCTTCTAAGTTCTGCTGAATCAGGTCTGCCTTTGAGAATTGTCTTGGAGAAAAGATAAGCTTGAAGTATTCTCCCTGGAGGGGACGTAGGGTTTGGGATCTTCTGATAAGGACCGGAAAAATGGCTCAGTTAAAACACAAGGTTCTAGGACAACTGGAATATAAATACTGTCCAAAAAATATGATTAAAAAAAAAACACTTTAGCACTGTGCAAAGTAAGTGTTAATTAAGGAAGTCCCAAAAAAGGTGCTGTCACTTTAAGTTCTGGACTTGGGGTTGTTTGTAATTGTAAACAGCAAAGCGTTTGTGTTTGTTTGTCTATTTGTAAAGCAACCACCTTCCTTATTGGAAGGAGAAAAAAATTTGGGGGTACATGTGTGTAAATACTTGCTGCAGCATTTAATATGTTTAATTTTATGTTACGCTTTTTGTCGCATCGTGAACACATTTATTGTTACCAGCTGACAATGAGTTCATTAAGACTGTTCAACTAGGTCAGATTTTTACATCTCTTTCTAGCAAGAAGAGACAAGATTTTGTGCATTTGTACAAATGTTAATAATATCACTGCAATTCCAATATAATAAAGCACTCAAATGCAAATAATATATGGAAACTTTGTATGATAAGATTGGGGGAGATGGGGTTAATGACATATTTTTTTGCACACAGTCTCATTCATGCCCCTTTTAGGGTCACCATTATCTAGGGATAAAATGAAGTAAGATTTTTCTCTTCCTCAAATCGTCACTACACTCCCACCACCTTGTCCATCCAACTTCCCAGCTGCGCCACTGGTCTAACTCATTCACAGTGTCAGCTGCACAACTAACGGGTCAGTGGATTTTAAGAGTCAAGAAATACAGCCAGTGAAGGCTCATAGTTCCAGTTATGTCTTGGAATCAAGAATCACAGACTGGCTACTCAGGCAATCCAATCCTGGAGTTCTTTTCTTGACTTCCAGAGAGTCAAGTCTTGGTTAGCCTTTTTGACGTACCTTCTGAATAGCTCCTTTCCTTCCTTGCTTCTCTTGCTTTTGTTCTTTTATTATTTTTTTTATTCACTCTTTCTGATCTCTTCTGCCCATATCTGATCCATCAGCAAGACCAGAATTCAACCATTTATCACCAACTTTACCGTTATAGCGCTGGTCCAAATCGCCAACATGTCCCTTGGATTACTGCAGTCATCTTGTAACTGGCAG